GGGACATGGGGACATGGTGATAGGGGTGCCTCGGGGATGTGTGGGGACCTGAAGATATGGGGGACATGGGGGAGACAAGGACGTGGGGATGAAGGACATGGGGACATGGGAATATGGGGATATGGTGTGGGGGGGACATGGGGGATTATGGGGGATGTAGGGGTGTGGGTGCCATGGGGACATGGGGACAGAGGGAAGGGGGGACACGGGGACATGGGAATGTGTGGGGCATGGGAACGTGGAGATGTGGGAGAACGCGGTGATGGGGGACATGGCTACCTCAGGGTCACCTCCTGACCCCACCCTGGTCCCTCAGGAGGTCCCTACGGGGCCGTGGGTGTGGACCTGGCCTTTGAGAAGCTCCTGTGCCACATCTTTGGGGACGATTTCATCGCCACCTTCAAGGCCAAGCGTCCGGCAGCCTGGGTGGACCTGACCATCGCCTTCGAGGCCCGGAAGCGCGCGGCCGCCCCGAGCCGCTCCAGCCCCCTCAACATCTCCCTGCCCTTCTCCTTCATCGACTTCTACCGCAAACACCGCGGCCACAACGTCGAGACCGCGCTCCGCAAGAGCAAGTGAGGGGTGACGCGGGCTGGGGACGCCTCGGGAGCGCGGGGACGCGGTGGGAGTGACTTTGGGGTGGGAAAGGGCAGGAGAGGGGGAAAAGGTGGCATAGGGGTGGAGGTGTGGGAGCGGAGAGGACAGGGAAGGACCAAGTGGGAGTTCCCGGTCACCCTCGGGTCCCCTGTCTGTCCCCAGTGTCAACCTGGTGAAGTGGTCGTCCCAAGGGATGCTGCGGATGTCCCCCGAGGCCATGAACGAGCTGTTCCAGCCAACCATCACCCACATCATCCAGCACATCGGTGGGGCCTGGGGGCACGCCCATCCATGGGGAACCCCTGTCCCTGTCCCAACCCCGTCCCTGGGATCACTCCTCGTCCCTGGGACCTTCCCTGTTACTGGGAGCCCTCCATTCCTGGGATCATTCCCATCCCCTGGGGGATGCCCCCCGTTCCTGGGAGCTCCTTCATCCCTGGAAGCGTTCCTGTCCCTGGGACCATCCCTATCCCTACGAGCCCCCCATCCTTGGGACCATCTCTCCCTGAGACATCTCCCTCATCCCTGGGACAATCCCACACCCTGGGATCCTCTTTGTCTCCATGACCCCACTCCTGTCCCTGGGACCCTCCAATGCCTGGGACCCCCCTCTTCATCCCTGGGACCTTCCCTGTTCCTGGAACCCTTTTTGTCCCTGGGACCACTCCTGTCTCTGGAACCCACCTTGTCCCTGGAATCCCCCATTCCTGGATCTCCCATTCCTTGTCCCTGGAACTCCCTGTGTCCCTGGAAACCTTTTATCCCTGGAACCACCCTTGTCCCTAGGACCAGACCTTGTCCCTGGAACCCACCTTGTCTGGGAACCCCCCTTGTCCCTGGAACCCTCCCTTGTTCCTGGAACTCTTCCTTGTCCCTGGAACCCCCATTGTCCCTGGAACCCTCCCTTGTTCCTGGAATCTCACTTGTCCCTGGAAAACTTTTATCCCTGGAACCCCCATTGTCCCTGGAACCCTCCCTTGTTCCTGGAATCTCACTTGTCCCTGGAAAACTTTTATCCCTGGAACCCCCCCCTTGTCCCTGGAACCCTCCCTTGTCCCTGGAATTCCCCTTTTCCTTGGAAACGTTTTATCCCTGGAACCCTCCTGTCCCTGGAACCCTCCCTGTCCCTCAGCCCCATTCCATCCCTGGAACTGCTCCCATTCCTGGGCTCCCCTCATCCCCGGCCCTCCATCACCCCCATCCCTTCCCCACACCCCTTCCTCCACCATCCCAACCCTCCAAACCTCCCCTTTGTATCCCCGCTCCAGACACCCTCCTGAAGAAACCCGAGGTCCACGGCATCAAATTCCTGTTCCTGGTGGGCGGCTTCGCCGAGTCGGCCATGCTGCAGCGGGCGGTGCAGGCCGCCTTCGGCCACCGCTGCCGCGTCATCGTCCCGCAGGACGTGGGGCTGACCATCCTCAAAGGGGCCGTGCTCTTCGGCCTGGACCCCGGCGTGGTGCGGGTGCGCCGCTCCCCGCTCACCTACGGCGTGGGGGTCCTCAACAAGTTCGTGGAGGGCAAGCACCCGCGGGAGAAGCTGCTGGTCAAGGAGGGCAAGAACTGGTGCACCGACATCTTTGAGAAGTTCGTCACCGTGGACCAGTCGGTGGCGTTGGGCGAGGTGGTCCAGCGCAGTTACTGCCCGGCCCGGCCCGGCCAGCGCCGGACCATCATCAACATCTACTGCTGTGACACCGATGACGTGGTGTACATCACCGACCCCGGCGTCAGGAAGTGCGGCACCATCAGCCTGGAGCTGGGGGACGCGGGGGACGCGGGCCCGGCGCGGGGCCGGCGGGAGATCCGCACCAGCATGCAGTTCGGGGACACCGAGATCAAGGTGACGGC